AACCTATTAAATGATCAAAAATATTTTTCTTTTTTCCATACGTTTCTGGCTTTGTAGAAAGCTGGATACTAGATTCATCTCACTGAGCCATTTCCTTGGCTTAATCTACTCCCTCTGTACATTAGTTTGTGTTTTTGCGCATGTCTGTCAGCATGCGCCTCTTGGCTTTTCAGTGGGTACAGAATCCATCCCCTCTAAATGAATCAACCGGCTGGGTTAAGGGTCCCTAAGCTGCAATTCTCTGAGGTAAATCCCCCTTGACGTGGCCTGGGACTTTCTAAGACATGTCATCTCATCTTCAGATTTGTCTCTTTTGTTCTCCAGTTCTCCCGCCTCTCTCTCCCCTCCCCCTCTTATCTCCCCCTTCCTGTGTGACGAAGGCTGTGTGGGCCCCCGCAGGTCAGCTGAAGCGGCGCTGAAGATTTTCATTTATGTTCTCTTGTAAATGAGAGGTTCAGTCCAGTTGCAGCAGGAGCGGAGAAGCCGCAGCTTAGATGTCAGTCATATCTCCCACCCTGCTGACAACCATTAAACCCCCAGAATGTAACGTTCAGCCTAGGAATGGTAACAGGCCCACCCTGCCACATACGCCACCCCCTCCGAATGGCCTGTGTGCATTCTTTGAAGCTAAAGCTGGACGATTATATCCTCTATACCATAATCGGTGTCAGATAATATTGCTTTTTAACTTCAGTGTCATTTGCTGGGTGCTCCAGATAGTTTCATCAGTTCAAAATACATACACAAGTAGATCAGTTGTAAGTTTCCTTTGTGGAAATAGCTTTGTCTGTTTACAGTATTGTAAAAGATTGTCTGTGGTGTAATTGTGCTGAGAAGCAGAACAGAATTCAGGAAGCATGGGTTTATTACTTTAGTAATGCAATTTTATGTTATTGGTATCCGATACCCTGATACTGATAAGTATTGTGATAAAGTAGGGTTGGACCATGTGACAAAAAATTTATCATCACAATACTTTAGTGTATTTTCATGATACATGACATGATGCAATACTTTGTTTTTCTAGGTTTGATAAGTTAGAGGAGGCAAAAGGAACCAGTACTGCTACATTAAAAAAAAATACTAACAAAAGCTATGGATGTGATAAATTTTATTCAACATTTCACATACTAAACTGCACTAAATCAAATTAAACAGGCCTAATTATGCTGTCTTTTTAACGAAGCATGGAATTAGTCAGTGTTCTGTAGATAATGACAGTATTCCCAATACGCTCAGAAAAGCACACAGTGTTGTAATTTAACAAAATAGCATTAAATATCGTCATTTTACCCACCTCTGTATTGAAGTTTATCTGTACCGAACAATATTTGCAAACCCCTATACAAATGTCATACTGTGTGCCAGGCCTGCTAAGTATATTCATTCTGTCTGCTGCATTGAACAGATAAATGCGCCAAGATCAATAACAGCACAGACAAAAACAAATAAATTAAAGATGATGTGCACACATAAGCGTAGAGAGCGGTGAAATGGAACCTCTGTCCTTTTGATAGCGATAGCTTTTAGCCTCCCTAGCCCATGCTATGCTACTTCACCTCTGGAATACTGAAGTGTTTGGGTAAACACCACCTCCATGCAGGCTTAGTGCTTCAGAGAGGTCTCCTGGTAGCTGTACTCGAACGAGTTGTTTTGGAGCTCTCGTTCACGGCTCTGTGTGTGTGTATATATGCCAGAGTGTGTATCTGCTACGCTCCAGGGGCTGTGCAGTCAGATGTGGCCATGGCTGCTGGGTAAAGGTTGATCTCAATCCCGCCACTGATACACACTCTGCCTGACCCCCTTCGCAAGCATTAGTTATAGATTGAAGGAGCTGTTGACAAGATAGTGGAGACACTCTCACCTTGATACCCGGTAATATATCACTCTTCTCATTATGCATGCTTTATGAATCAAGAGTTGTGCACGCAGTGTTTCCTGATTCAATAAAGATATGATCGCAGTGGGGCGGCGAACTGTGCTGCGACTCAGATGCAGAACAGCCCCTCCTCTTCATGTTTCATTAACTTGACATTGTTATCCATTAGGATTAGCGAGCCGCTGTTACTACTTGTCACAGTATGGTGATGGTGTGGTACTCAGTCAAGCTGTTACTGTAATGTAAATCTCAGCTGGAATTTACTTACATTCCTAATTTGGTTTTGGAAAGTGCTTCTTTAGCCTTATTGGAGATGAGTTTGTTTTACCTGGGGCGGTACTGTAGTAATAGCTCTGTTTAAACTGACCTAGAATAGTAAAACCTGCTACTACATAGCCTAGCTGTGTTATTGATATTGAGAATCTTTATACCATATAAATCGGTCACAGAGTATTTCTTACTAAAACTAGCTAAATCCACATCCAGTAGAGCGTTTTTCATAGTTCAGGATGTCATGATTACTTGAAACCATCTATAATTTTTTTTTTCTAGGTCATCATTTTTTCAGTAGTGTATTTTGGAACTGTTGAAATGCTATGGACAGTTAATTGCTTAGTTAAATGTGGATTTTGGTCTTTTTTGTTGAACAAAACTCTTTTTACTCATCAGTTAACCATCAAAACAAATACTACATTACTCGAAACTATACATTTTTGGGGCCCAGTTATCATGGTCCTAACATAACACCACAGCATAACAATTTAGTGTTAATATTATTCATTATTGGGCTGTATGGCGTCTCTACTTTGGCAGATTTTTATTGCTTTAGTCAGCTAGTTTTGAACGAGAGAAAGAGGAGGGGGAAAGAAGTCTTGCTGTGCCGTTGGCAGCGTTGCACCCATTCGCCCCTCATTCAGGGAGGTCTGGGTCCACTGACATGTTAGTCGACAAACACTGGAACAAGCAACCCCCTCCTCCCTTCCCCTTCTGAGATTAGACTACTGCACCCCCCCCCAAACACACACACACCAGAATCCCACTCCTCTTGCTAACACAATCCCCACACACCCTCGGCTTCAAGTGCCGCCGAAGGGGAACTAGTTAAAACACGCCTAGGTAACATAAATAGTGGAGTGTGGTGCCAGTCTGTAATAGATTTGCAGTGTGTGAAATAGCAGGGTAACGTAATGAGAGTGTTTTGAATGGAGCTGCGGAGGAGCCATAGCCTGGCTGGCACCTCATGGTCTCAGAGAGACAGAGAGAATGCAGCACCTCTTTTTCTTAGACTGCAGGCTGCTTTATGTCCTCAGCACATTTGAACTATCAAAGCTGTCTTGTCTTCAAGTCGTAGACTGGCTCTTCTGTGTAAATAAGATGTTTATCTACACTCCCTCTTTCAAACACAGTGCTCTTTTTTCCTCTTTTCCCTCCCCTAATAATTTTTATGACTGAGGTGTTGCTCAATTCGATTCTTTTTACGCGTTTACAGGGGAGAAAAAAAAGGGAGTCAACAATCATCTTATCCTCTACACTTCTACGAATGTTTGGCAGATTGACCGCAAAGGAAGGAAGTGTGTGTATGTGGGTGAGGATGTGTGTGTGTGTGCAAGAGAGCACTGTTGCTGTCTGTTTTCGGTGCTGTGGCGCGTGAATGTTTTTGTTAAGGAGATGAGGGTTCATGACCTCGCCATACCACCAGTCACATTCGATTTAAGCACACAGGCGCTGTGTGTTCTGCCCGGGCAGAGAGCAGCCGGCCTTGCCGTCGGACGATCAAGCTTATGTAATTTGGCAGCGTTGGAAAATTAGAGGGGTCGAGGGTGTAATGCTGGTCAACTGTTAAGCAGTTAAGGGACCCAGTGGACCAAGGTTGCATTGTCTTTTGTGTGCGTGTCTCTCTCTCTCTTTCTCTGTCTCTCTCTCTCTCTCTCTCTCTCTCTCTCTCTGTGTCTCTCTCTCTCTGTCCCCAGGCTGTGTCTGCATTATTACACAAGCGCCCCCCCATTGGTGCATAATTGTATTGGAACAATACTGGCCTTCTCTCTTGGACTCCCTTGATGTTTGTTCTGGAGAGGGCAGCCTTGTCCTGCTCCCGAAAGCCCTTTAATCCTATTACTCACATTCCACTTCAAATTTACAAAGTGAAACATATTTTAAGGAGTTTTTAACTTTTTGGAAAAATGAAGTAATGGAGACTATGGGCTGTTAGAATCGTGTCAGGTTGTTCTCACAGCTGGCACGATATTTACCCCAGTTGATTTTTTTTTTTCTCGTGATCTTTTTAATATTAGTTGTTGACTTTCTCGTAAATCTGGTCTTTGTTTGGTTTGAGTGCTTCTGTTTAATGTTTAGACTCATTTCTTTATTCAAAACTGTCATATCTCTCATTCTTGTCTTGTGCAGCCTAGAGGAGAGTGGGCTTCTCCTTGGTTCCTCCCGGTGTTCCTTCCTCTTGATCCTAGGGAGTTTTGTCTACCACTTCTTTTTTGTGATTAGGGCTCTGGACCAGATTTCTGTGAAGCTGATATGTGACTAATCCATTGTTAGAAGTACCATGCAGAGGGCTAGACCAACTAATTGCCTTTCACGTTTTGGTCACTGAAAATGCAGAGATTGAGGCCCAAGTGGCCGCTTCCTAATTTGCATTTTTTTTTCCATTCTTAAAAAATTTGGTCAGACACAGAATAAATTTCATCAAATCAGATTTTGTCAGAATTCATTAATTGTAGCCACCATGACAGCTAATGTGATGGTGTGGTGTCTGTGGTGGTTCCCCTCTGTCAAGCTGGTCTGCCTGGTGTCATAGATGCTGTTCCATTGGCTGAAGTTTGCTAATATTATTATATGAAATAAGGTCTTAAATAAAATAGTGTTAGACCAAAAGGTCATCACTGCAGACCCTAAAGACAACCTAGATCAGATGGCATCAGGGTGGACCAGCTCATTATGGGGGACCACCATCATCACACCTGGGCAAACAAATAAATTTGAATTGAATTTTGGAGATGATGTAGCTAACATCCTGCTCTCTCTCTCTCTCTCTCTCTCTCTCTCTCTCTCTCTCTCTCTCTCTCTCTCTCTCTCTCTCTCTCTCTCTGTGTCTTCTCTCTCTTCCCCACAGATTGTGTGTACATAGAGAGCCGGCGGCCCAACACGCCCTACTTCATCTGTAGCATTCAGGACTTTAAACTGGTGAGTGGAGGTGTCCTTTCCTTTCTTTTGGCTGGCTTGAGTGTCGTTCTTTCTCTCTTTACCCTCCTTATCTCTCTCTCTCTCTCTCTCTCTCTCTCTCTCTCTCTCTCTCTCTCTGCCATTGTTTTTACTCAAGTTGTACGAAAGCTACATCAAACGCCTTTTGATGTGGATTGTGAAGTGATTGCTTGCATCCGTATGTTTTGCAAGAGATGGCAAGTTGCTCTCTACAGTACTCAAGAGAAGCAATCAGTTTCGATGCCTCGGATTGGATTTAGAAACCTGATACGTATTTTCATGCCTGCTTTGGATTTTATCCTTGTAATAGGGCCAGAGGAAGGCTGATTTTTAACAACCAATTTCATAGTTTAATGTTATCCATTATTTGTAATTTATTTCAGATGAACTGCGTCATTATCTGTTTAGAAAGTTGGCTCTGCATTTTTAGGCCTCAGTTTTTTTTGTTTCGTGTTGTTGAAAGAAATCTAGACTGCAGTATGACCAGTAAACCAGATTTGTGAGCATAATTAGTCAGGGAGGAAAAAATGCACGTTTGGGATTTACGTCTAATTTCAGTCACTTAGTTACTTTTTTTGTGTGTGTGTGTTTTTTTTATTTTTTTAATTATTATTATAAAGGACTATCTGACAGCCTGTCTATATACACATTTAGAGCTCTGTAGCAATTATAAGTGGCAAAGCCTCCTTCAACTTCCAGAGAATGTTTACACTGCAGCTCCAGTGTAGGTTTCCCCAGCCTTAATTGATCAATTAAAGAAAAAAAACTGCATGCAGAAGCAAATCTTGTGCTGCACTCGTTTCAGGTTGTAACCCATTCTCCTCAAATGGGCTTTGCTGACACGTTTTATGTAGATTGTTAATCAGCTGCTTTAAAAGCCTGAATCTTCAAAGGGCATGTTGAGTGGAAAGCAAAACCTCCTCAGATTCAATCTGGTTTATTAGGGCAATGAAATTCCTGATTTATTTTTCCCTGCTACCACAGTCAGGTTCCCTGTTCTTTTTTTTTTTTAAGCCCTCCCTCTTGGCTCTCGGCTCAAAGCTGCGTAAAACTCAGCGCTAGATTTGATTAGCACTTTTCTGAGATAACGCAGTGTCACAAGCAAATAAGCACATTAGGGCTGTTCTGATGGTTCGGTGTGCGCAGCAGGACTCCTTTTGCCTTGGGGTCCTGGCTGGCCTGCTGGTCCTGTAGAGTGGCGAGGGGGGCCCCGGGAGACGTTGTTAATGGCACACAACAACTAAGGTGATGATGGAGGGCAGGGTGGAGGAGCGTGAAGGAGCTGTGGTGGGGGCTGAGAGGCAGGCTGATGAGGGAGGAAGGGAGGGAGGGAGAGACAGAGAGAGAGCACGAGGGACTGGGCATCAACCTCTAATCGGATTGGCAGGAAGAGTTGCTGAGGCCGGCAGGAATCTGCTCTTGCCAGTAATAATGTATAGTGTGTTTTGTGGTATCTTCACCTTGATTAAGTGCAGATCAAGAGGTCTTTGTCCAATGGTGGTGAATGTCAGGACAGAAAACAGGAGATCTATTAAAGCCACTCTTTTTCTCTGTGTCTCTTTCTCCCTTTTCCCCCACCACCACCAGCTCTCCTCCTTCATATATCGGCGTGTAATTAATGGAGGCCCATCTGCATTGTTGTCTGAGAAGCGAATTGGAGCTGTGCCTGCACTGTGCAGTCTGGCCCATTAAATGCACTGCCAGCACTTTCCCAGCTTTATGGAAATCTTTATGAACATCAGACTCTTCTCTGGAGGTGATGTGCACTGCCATTAGGCCAGTGGTCTCCCATCTTATCTGCAGACGGCTGGAGTGATAGCAGGTTCTCATCCCAACCTAGCAGGACAGCAGCTGATCAGTTGAAGACTTTGATAGGTCCATGCTTCACCTAGAAATGTGTTCTTTCATAGCCAAGTTGGAAAAACTTTACAGGATATTGAAAAAAACAAAGAATTCAGGTCAGAGTTTAGCTTCTCTACATAATGTAACATGTCCAGTTTGAAATGCTGTGCTACTGAATGGAGCTAATTAAAACCAGGCAGGGTATAAACAGTACACTTGCCACCATGCTAGCTTTAGCTTGATCTCATGAGAAAACTACACCTGACAGATCCCAACAGCATGACTTTTTTTTTTTTTCCAAATCCAAGAGAATTTTATATTAATAACGCACTCTATATTTCCATAGTTTGAGGAAAACTGAATTGTGTGCCGCAGTTTCTCGTTAGGTTGAAAGGAGTTTTTGTCAGTGTTCAATAAAGCTTGTCAAATCTCTCAAGAGCTACTGTGAGAGACGCCTGTGTGGGTGGAGCATGGACTAAACAACTGAAATAAGCTGTGCTCCTTCTTTGTTTAAATTAATACCTTCAGCCACACCATTCCTCTGCAGATCAGATCGTACACCCTTGTATAAGGTCAAGCTGAAACCTGTGTAGTGGCGATGAAGCCACCGCTGCCATTGGTAGCGCTTCAGCAGCATAGCCACTGATCTTTGACCCCAAGCTGTCTCACTATCCACTTAATTGGGACGTGAGCCTATGTCCACAGAAAAAGCCAGAGAGTCGATCCTTTTCTTTTTCGCTCACTCTGTCCCTCTCAGTACGCTTTTAGCACTTAATTGATTCACGTCCAGGAGCATCTGAGCTCTTTTTAAGCTGGAGAAGGCTGTAACGGAGAACGAGGACATCGGCATGTTCCAGTGCTGCAGATTTACACAGCATTCTTTCCTCTCTACTATTAACATGGATTCATTATATGGGTAACGATTACAGCTCCCCAGGGCCTGCTTTCTTCTCCCATATTAGCCACCCATCACACTCTGCATCAGCAGTAATATTTATGCCTTTTTAAATGCAGAAGCTTCAGTTTTATGTTGTCAGAGTTATAGAGCATCATCTTTAATGGTCAGGCTTGGTGGCTTGCATTGAGGAAAGAGCACTGCTTTGCTTGTATCTAAACAGCAGTCAACATCAATATGGCTCTCTCGGCCAGTCAGTAGGTCCTAACATCACCTAACGGCGTTTATCTAATGACCTGGGAATCCTATTAGCGGTGTGGAAAAAAGCTAGACGCTGCCATCAATCTCCTTATATAGGGGGACGAGACCCATCTCGTGCTTTGTGTGTGGGCTTTACTGGTAGGGGTGTTACTGTGTACATTATTAATATTCATTTGTTTTATGATAGTTTGTGCTGAGATTCGAATGCAGTTCAAATTTATGCTGTAAAAATATTTGATACATTTGATCAGACATAATTATGTAAATTGGAATGATTTCCACTGTTGCAGTGTCAAAAAAGGCAACTGTGAAAGCTGAAAAACTCCCCAAAACATTTTAAACAACTTGTCTTCTGAGAACATTATTTGTATGTGTTATATTTTCAACTATGGTCTTGATTTGGAAATAAGCAGAATGGATGCTGAATTGTTTTTTATACTTCTGCATCAAAAATGCCATATATATATATATATATATAACTCCACAAGACTTACTGTGTCATGAAATTTGAATGTTGTCACTCCTCATGTATCAATAGAAAATGCTGGACTGGATATCAGAGGGCAAAAAAAGAGAGTGAATCAGATCTTATCCTGAAATAAATCTAGCTCAGTGTACAGTACTGGGCAAAAGTCTTCTGAGACCACCCTTCATTTACTTAATTTCCAGTTAAAATGACCATTTAGTACAAGTGATTTTTCTGGGACAAGGGGTAAAAAAACAGATTTTTTCAGTATTTAGTGTGTCCACTCTTCAACTTTTATTACAGGTTTCATTCTTACTGGAAGACCTTTCTCAGTTTTTCAAAGATTTTGGTAGTGACACCTCCAAATAGCAGGCTTGGAAGTTGGTTGCATTTTCTACTTGTCAAAATCCAAGTAATTCTAGTCACAAATTAGAATTAAAATCAGTCCATAAATCATACTCCACACCTCAAAAGTCCAGTTTCGCTGATCTAGTGCACACTTCTTCTGTTTTTTTTTTCCCATCCTTTCCAATTAAAAAAATTGCTAATTTTGAAGCTTGATTGTTTTAAAGGTTATATTGTGTATAGGTATTGGCTAATACTCAAGGTTTCAATATCTGTATTAGGAAAGAAAAGTACACCTATAGTTGTAGTTACACCTATATTTACTAGCGTCAATAGCTTGTTCCTATGTTAAACACTCACACTCCTTCCTGTCTTTCACTTAGTCTGAGGCTGGACATTAATTGGCACGCTTTTCACTCAGCAGCTTCTTGCCTTTGCAATTGTATTCATATTACGTATGAGCCACCGTGCAGTCTGATTATGCTGGGAGACAGATAGACAAAGACAGGTTTCTCCTCCCTCTGTACACAGCACACACTCCGTGTGTGTGTGTGTGTGTGTGTGTGTGTGCGCCACAGCGATTAAGGCACAGATGACAGAGCTGCACTCAGCTTGTGTAAACAGCTCTGTGGTACAGACAGAATAAAGGAGATTACAGAGGAAAAATGGGGTGGAAAAAATTTGAGGTGCTGTTATGTGCCCCTTTCTAGTGTGAGCTCACACACACACACACACACACACACACACTCACTGGTGCTCTCGGTGTAAGTAGATAACCTGAGGAGGGGCCAGTTTAGCTGTGAATCATTCGGCCCCTGCCCCTGCTGTGTTTGCACACTGTGGCTGGGTTATGTTAAATCTGGGCAATGTTAACAGATCTTTCCTTTTCACTCTCTCTCGCTCTCTCTCTCCTGCAATCTGTCTCTCTCTATATCACTCTCACTCTCCTCAGTGTCTCTTGCCTTCTCTTTCCCTTTCCTTTCTTGCTCTCTTCTTCTTTTTTCTCTCCATTACCTCTCTCTTTACTGTCTTACATTTCCCCCTTCTTTTTTCTCCTGCCTTTATTTTCCTCTTCTTTTTTTTCTTTCTTTCTCCCTTCATCTTCCATTCTACTCCTCTCATCCCCCTTTTTTAACTGTCTCTCTGCCCACTTATCCTCTCTCTCTCTCTCTC